CCTCTGGGGTCCCCAAACTGGCCTGTAGCCCTCGCTGCCGAAAGGTTTTGATGAATCCGAGCCTTGCACGTGGTCTGCCTCTCTCCCAGCGGGCTGCTTAATTGCTGCCTGGTCCTTCTGCCAGGACCTCTCTCGCTGTTGTTTTTTTTAATCATTAGGAAACGTATATAAAGTTGATGGATGACGTGATGGTGCTATACTCTACCTACAGGGTCTTTAAAGTAAGTATATTTGTAAAATGTAATAGAAACCAAAGCTGGCAGCAGACTTCTGTTACCCAAAGTTTGTTTTTCTCCCAACACATCCCTCCATCAGTTCTTGTACCAGAGCTAAAAATTGGCTGGCTCCAGTGGAGTTAATAATCATCTACAAATGGAGTTTGAGCAACTGATGCTGCTGCATCAAAATGTTTCCCTCCTCCCTTCCCCCTCCCTTCCCCCTACATCCCCCAAAAAAGAAATTCCTGGCTTATGCGCAAAATGCAGTTAAGTTCTCACTGTGCAAGTATTAAACTGTGGGCCTTTTCTTTCAAGTTTCTGGATTTTTATGGGCACAATCGGTCTGTTAACAGGACTTTTTTGTGGTTTCAGTGCATTTATATCATTGACCTTTGCTTTAAAAAGTGTCTGACAGTCTTTACTGGACTGGAGCTATGAAAAGGGATGTTGTAAGAGGGCTTTATTCTATAGAAGCAGTGACCACAGGCAAAGCTTTATATTTGCTGAGTGATTTAATTCTTGCACATGCAGAACTTGGCTCTGTGCCATATGTAACATGTTGAGAAAAAGTCTACTTGAGAGGCATTAAAACCAAACTTTCCAAAACCATCTTTTTTTTTTTTTTAATAGGTTGCTTTCTTGTTATTTTTAAGCTAACAAGTAAAATCAAGGGACGCTGCCCCAAAATGCTGCGTTGAATTCTAGCAGAGTCACTGGGGAAATAAGCCTCTTTTTTAAAAATCAGAGTGGGAGTCTGGATGGAAGGATGCCAGTCGGGAAGAGCAGGAGGGTGTCATTAAAATCAAAGCTTGACTGAGAGCACCCAGACTCCAGGGAGGAAGCCTGGGAGGGTGAGGGTTGCACAGTCTTAATGCCAGCTCCTGTAAACTCCTGCTTGTAGGACATCCCCTGCAGATGAATCTTCAGTCTAAATATTAGCTGCAGGCAGAATTGCATTCCTCACCCGAGGCTTTTTGTAGTGACCCGAGTTGGTACTCTGGAAATATCCGCTCTCCCTAAGAGCACCCGCTCCAAATACACCGGGATTAGTCGTTTTTCCCTTCTTACCTCTGCCTATCTCCTGCTTACAGGAATATCTGTCGCCGGCTCCATCTTTCACTTGCTGGCCAGTAGTAGTCAGAAGCAAACAAAAACCGACTTTTGTTTGCTCTAGTTTTAAACACTGTGACAGCATTTTGATTAATGTTAGGTCTTGTGACAAGCTTTTTTGAGTCAAGCATATTGAGCTGCTTAACAGCATCCCTTCAAATTCTGCGTCTGCCTGCTGCAATTCCTGATAATGGTCTGGAGAGCAATGAAACATTGTATTTTTTTTTCTCTTTCTCATAATCAGTCCTTAAAATATGGCTGACATTCATATTTTGAACATATTTAATTGTATAGCCTCTTCGGCTACGTTTTGTATTTTGGTGTGCCTTTGAGTATTTCCTCTCTCTTTGGAAAGCAAACGAACAATAGAAATACTAAATTACGTTAATTTTTAACAGAAGTGATCTCTTCCCCAAACATTGCGAAGTACTGCATTTTAATTAAAAGCAACACATAAACAGTGCATCAAGCCCCTTGGCGCCTCAGCCTCTATTAGTTTTAATCAACAGATTTTTCTAGGGGCTTGCAGAAGCGAATTGTGCCTTGCTCGCTCTTCCCGGGAAGAGCAGAGCAACGGCTCGTCGTCGTGCGGGCACACCGAACACGGAAATACCGAATTAAAAAAGGAGGTGAGGTTAGGCTGGGGTGGCGGATGCTTGCCAGGGGGGAGCTGATGGGCCGTCGCCCTGCCTGTCTCGCCGCGGTCTCCCCTGGCCGGTTGGTCGCAGGGGTAGCAGCGCAGGCGGAGGAAACAGGGTATTTTCTAGGGTAGCGTTGATGGGAAAGAGCGTTTCAGCCGTCCTTGTGATTTCTCTAAGAATTAGGCCTAAATTCTGCTCGTGTTTAAAGCTCCTTAGGAAAGTGATAGGCTCCTAAGCCTCTACAGGGAGACTGGCATGGCAAACCAAGGGCATCCTTGGCTTTTTATAGACTCTAGGTATTTGATCATGTCAACGAACATGAGTGCATGTGGTTTTAGCAGCGCAGAGCTCCACCCTCGGTGTGGGCAGACTCGGCGCCCAAGCAAACTGGCTGCTGTCTGTGGTTAGCGGTAGCGGAAACCGCCTGGGAAGGGAAAACCCTCTCCGTCTTTCCCTGCTCTTCCTGGGTAGCAGAAGTTGGCTGGAGCGAGGCGGGCTTGCCCGGGGGGACACGGCGTGGCAACCGGGCAGCCCCCTCTTCCAGGAGCTGGCGTGGGAAGCGGTAAATACAACCATCGAAGCAAAGCGGAGGGAGTACCGGCTGGCTAAAGCCTACTCGAGATGAAACCCGACCGCGACACCTGAGCCGCTGTGCCAGCTCTCCGGAGAGCCCTGGCCAGCCGGGAAAGCAGGTGGCAGGCTAGAAATCATCCGCTCACCCGAAAAATTGGAAGGTGCCGCTCAGCGCTGCGCCAGAGGGGAGGTGGTTGTCCACGCGGGCGCTCTTTAATCTTTCAGGCGTGGTGATCGAGGGTGTCCGAGCCTCCTGCGGGGTCCTGTGACCGCCGCAGATGCTTGCTGAAACTGGAACTGGAGAGGGCTGGTGGGAGTAGCTGCCAAGAGCTAGAAGATGGGGATGGCTTTGGGCCACAGCTTTCAAAAGTGACTGACAGTTTCTGGTACCCAACTGGGGACGCTGTGAGGGTAAGTGGTTTTTGAGGGACAGCGGCTCAGCCACCACAATTTCCCGTCACTTTTTGGAAATCGTTGCCTGTGTTTCGCGTCACGCTCCCCGCAAACGTTTCTGCATAGAGTTCCCTCCTCTGGAGAGTGAGACCAAAGCAGCGACCGTAGGTTTTTGACTTGGGATGCTGCAGAGCACATTCTGATTTCATCGTTTGTTTTTCTCTGTGCAGAGATGGGAAATGCCAATGCAAAGTCGGTGTGACGGACCTGAAGTGTGACCGGTGCAGTGATGGATACTACAGGTTTAACGAAACCACCTGCGTGCCGTGCCAGTGCAATAACCGGTCCAAAACCTGCGATGCGGTAACAGGTAACGGCCTCCCCGCTTGTGACCTTGGTGGGGGCAAACTCTGCCCGTCTCCCCTGTCTCTGGTTTCTCCCATTTTCCTTCAGCAGAGCTCCGCTCTCACCCTGTTTATCCACATCTTTATGCCTCGAGTGCTCCAAATCTTTACCTTCAAACCTTAAGATAAAAAACAGCGTAAGGCTGGAGCTAGTCCTCTTCTCAATAAAGTCAGTAAAGGCTTCATTATTGACTTGCCAGGCGGCAGCGCTGAGCCTTCACCCTACAGTGGCTATTGGAAATCAGTGCTCCATTGTTCTCTGCACTGCCACAAACACGCAACACTGGCTCTGAAGGAGCTTTTGTTTAACGGCTGTTTACCTGGAAACATATACTGTACTGGTGCAGCTGTAAGGTGACTGTTATTGCCACAGATAACGTGATCAGTGCTGGGAAAAACCTGCGGTCCCTCATTAATGTTCCCCACTTTTTATGAAATTGCCTCATTTGATTCCTTGAACATTCCTTCGACTGGTTTTCGCTCATACAAATGTTGATGGAGTGCAAATGTCGAAGCACCTGCACCTTGTTCACAGGAAGGCAGGGAGAAAACCAGACTGCTTTCCCATCTCCGCTGATGGGAGAAACCCCAGAGGAGCAATGTTAGGTGACTATCTGGCCCATCCCCACTTAGCAACAATTTAAAATTGAAATTCTCATCAAAGCGTAGAGGATGAAATGCAATTCAGTAATATTTTATCCAGGAGCTTAGAAAGATGTAATAATTTCAAAAAAAATTGCAGATTATTTTCATGCCTGGAAAAGAGGCAGAGCTAATCCCATAAGGTATTTCTGGGCAACTTGTGCGCTAGCGTATGCTCCTTCGCTGCCCGTGCGTTTGCAACAAAGGCACGAGGGGCCACGGCAAATGTTTTGCCCAGCGAATGCCCTGGTCCTGCCCGGCAGAGTATGATTCTGTGGACATCTGGGGAAGCAGCAGACACCAAAACTGCACTCCTTGAGGATGAATTACTGCATTTATTCTTGGGCTGCACTTGAAGTTTGTGCTTATTTCCCACTAATATCAAAGGAGATGAGATTGTGCCTGAAGCTATGTGCACAGCAACTGCTTTGTTGATTTGGAGCTGGGTGTGTGGGTTTTTGTGAAGGTGTAAGATAATCTGCTCTTCCCTTTTCTCCCTCCGTCTTCCTCCCTCGATAAAATACCAGCCAAGACCTTGTCTCCGTGATGGGGCCGTTCAGGCAGCCCTTCTGCTGAGACTCTCCAGCGCTGGCTGCAGCATCGCAAAACGAACCCCTTTCTGGTTAATGACCTATTGTTGATTTGAGAAAAATCCCTTTTTTTTTTCTTCCCCCCCCCCTCCCCCTTTCCCTCCCTCTGCTTTTTTGCTGCCAAAAAAAAAAAAAAGAAAAAAAGAAACCCCCCCCAAACCCCAGAGAACAATCCATAACAATTAGATCCGATGTCTAATCAGTGGCACAGCGCGCTCAGCCTGATCTAGAGACTGCACTTTGTGTGACCTCTCCAGGTTGGTGCCGACTGTGTGCCGTCTTTGTCAAACTGTCAAGGTTTCTTTCGCGTTAATACTGTACTTCGGGCTCCCTCTGGCGGCTTCGTGCCCGTCTCTGCACGGCCTCCCTTAACTGTAGGTACGGCCCGGAGGAATAATTAAAGTTACTGGGCTGGAAAGTGGGCAGCCAGAGCTGCCCAGGCGACGGTGCTTCCTCCGACGTGGCCCTGGCGCCCTCGTACCCTGCGTCGCATCCGTGCAGTAAGCGCGGTCGCGTCTGCCTAGCTGGGTTTCATCGTTCCCGAGGGCGTTATCGGGATGGGAAGCGCTATTAATTATTAAGGCTTTCACAGTGATACCTGATTAAAGCCCGGAGCCTGCTGTGCATCGCCGAGCGACTTGCTGACTCACTGGAAATGCAGCCATTTTGCAGGGCTGGGGTAGAGAGATGCAAGCAATTTCCACTGATGGGAGAGACATTGGTCCTGAGGTGATCAAGACCGCACAGAAAAGCGCAGGTGTGATTCCAGATTTATACTGCCATTAATGCCTGCAGAGCACGGTTCAGGAGAGCCTTAGTGCCGAGCAGGCACGTTGGCTCTCCCCGAGCAGGTCAGTGCGGGGCCTCGCGGCAAAGTAGCTGATCGAGGCTTGCAGTTTGAGAAACAGAGGCCAGAGGATAATTTTGCCCTGAAACACAGACGTCTCTGCCCCGAAGCCACCAGCTCGTGTCTGATGGGCTGCTGAGGAAGGGCAGACGGCGCATAGGAGCTGAAGCCGTGCACGTGTCCTCGGTCACCCTCCGCACGGGTGAACCAGCAGCTTCCTAAAAGCGGCTGCTGCCACCAGGGTTTTCTGTCTTCTGCTGACGCGAGGCTCGGCCGCAAGGACGTGCCAGGCTTGTTCAGCTGCAGGTACCGCTGTGAAGAGACAAGTGGGAGCTGTGCGGTGTGTGCGATGTGCCTGGTGCTCCGCCTGTTCTGGCATTAATAAGGAGATTTGCTGCGTTTATTTAACAGTCTCACCGTTAACCCAGTTCAGGATTTTATACGTGTGGTTAATGTGGGGATGAGACTTTTTCATGCCCCCGTAGCACTGCTGGCTTAGCTCTGCGAATCTCCTGTCTGGGCTTACAGGTGCAGTAAATAAACTGCTCTGTGCCACCCTGGTGTGTTATAAGGTGGCTGTTGCTTTTTCAGAGTCGTGTACTTGGGACGTAATCATATAAGCTTCCCTCAGGTCACCGCCACCTCGATGAGAAGGCGGCTGAATTGCAGCATGTTCCTCCTGATGGATGAGCTTTTGGTAGAGGCTGCGTTTTTAGGACTGGGAAGATTTTTCTTTTTTTGTTCACAATAATATCAAAACGCAATTTAGAGGGCCATCAGGACTCAGCCTCTGCTAAGACACAGCCCGTCAATGTTTTGATTCAGGGGCTTCCCTAGGAAGGGCATGTGGCTCACGTGAACCCTCATTTCTCCTCTCTTTCTCCAGGAAGGTCAGTAATGGCCGCTGGCCTCTGCCTGCAGCAAATGTCCCTGCTGCGATGGAGCCATGCTGTGTGGGATGGAGCCATCTGCCCCCAGAGCAGCATGGTGGCATTTACTTTCCCCTGAGCACCAGATCTGTGGTGTAGGAGTAGGTTGCCCACAAAAAGGGACAAAGAGTATTTCTTCTGTGCGTGTGCTAGTGTGGTCATTAGCTACTGCCCCAACTGCGCTGTCTGCCTTTTGGAAGGAGCGCTGCTGTCCCTTTGTTTTGAAAACTGTTCAGTCTTGCTCTGGCGGAGGGGCCAAAGCTGCAGCATAGCGCGGTGGGAAGCCTCCGTGCAACGGAGCGGAGGTGGCCGCTTCGGCGACATGCTCTGCGCTGCTAGGACCGATTCAGGGGAGGAACCGGGACTTGCCTGCGTGCCCTCGGGGTGATCCCTGTGGGGTTCAGTCCATCATCCTGCCTGCTCACCGTCGATGTTTCAAACGCATAAACTGGAGGGAACCCTCCTTGGGTGGGGGATCTGAAGCATCAGGATCCCCTTTCACCAGCACAAATACGAACTAGAGCGCTTCTATTTGAGGACAGTTTAATGTTGATAATGTGTATTTCCCTGCGCAGACCTTCTAAAGCGATGAGCTATGAGTATCGCTGCTGAGGCTACCTACTTTTTCATGTTACATGTGCAAGGGGAGGTGGGGGGAGCGAGCATCAGAAGGTCATAAGAGGCCAGGACTGGTGCCAGCGCTGTGTCTTAGCCGGAGGGGTATCCAAAATCGCCTGTGAACTCTGCTAATTGAGAGCACTGCAGGTATATTCTCGCTCCAAATGTTCTGCTCCCAGTTACTGCTGCCGAACGGACTGCTTGTGCTCTGTGTCCCCTTCCCTAGGCGCCTGCCTGGCTTGCCAGGAAAACACCAAGGGAGAGCACTGCGAGCAGTGCAAAGAGGGCTTCTACAGCAGCGCCCGTCCTGGCCCGGCCTGCCGTCACTGCCCGTGTTCAACTGTAGCATCTACCGGCACCTGCCAAATAAGTAAGGCTTTCGTTTTGGTTTGATTCTTCACCTAATTAAAGTAGCTCTTTTCAATGCATTTCAAAAATAAATTCTATTCAGAGTGGGTCATCCTAGCGAGCTGATTTATAGTCTGTGAATCTCCCTTTCATGGGCACTGGGGCATCTTACTGGAAGCAACGCATGCCCCAAGGAGCATATCATGCATTTGCAGTGTTTTACTGGTGCGTACGTTGGCACCGGTGAGAGGAGACGTGCAGCGAGGAGCAGCAGAAGCGGCTCGCTAAAGGCTGTGGCCGCTTGCTGAGGCAGATCTGGGACCTTTGCAAAAGTTTTGCAAAGAGAAGTGCTGGACTGCGGGCCGCCCAGCTGGGCTTGTGGCAACCAGGAGAGATTTGGGAGATGCCCGTCAGCTTCGTGTAGCCTTTCATGACTCTGTGAGCCCTGCTCTGACCATCTGCACAGGGCTCGAACAGGGATCCATCCCATCTTCCAGCTATATTTTGATATAATCAGGAGGAGAAGCTGTATCTGGAATAAACACATGCAAAATTTTTTTGATAATCTCTCAATCAGTTTTGCAATTGAGCCTCCTCTGGCTTCATATAGTCCATAAAGTTTTTGTAGGTTGCTGACGTCCCTGATATAGTTGCAGCTGTTTGCTGAAACTGGCCGTTTGAGATGGAAATGTTCTGGAGTAATAATCCCTTTGCCTAGCAACGTGCTAAGCATGCTCTGTGATGCTGGTACTAGGAATTAGAAGCCTCCAACCCTTTTTTCCCTATAAATGGAAAATACTGCAGTCTAAAAATCTATACTTTCAGATTAATCTTTTAGCTTGGTTAATACCCTGTGGCAGCTGATTTTGTCGTACTGACTGATGGTCAGGTTCCACAGAGCAAATCCTGCGCTGGGTTTTTCTCTGCGAGGGGCTATGGCAGGTACCCGTTGTGTTTCCTGTGTTGTTTAGGACCTGGTGACGCTGCCCCAACATGTGACAAATGCAAAACTGGATATGTGGGCCCCAACTGCAACCAGTGTGACAACGGCTACTACAACTCTGACAGCATCTGCGTGAGATGCAAATGCAACGGGAACGTGGACCCAGCCCAGTCACCCAGGGTGTGCAAGCCGGACAGCGGGGAATGCATCGGCTGCCTGTACCACACCGCCGGGTTTCATTGCGAGGAGTGTCAGGAGGGCTACAGCAGGGACCCCGAGGGAACCAACTGCACCAAGAAAGGTAAAGCGCTCCTCGAACCAGTGTCAGGGCTTGCTGTGCGGATCAGATGGGCACAAGCTGCCTGGAGGCTGGGGAGGGAATATTGTTAATTGTTCGAGGAGTATTTTGCAGTTCAAGGTAAAGCAGCTTTAAAGTCTGCCAAGGTAAATAGAGAGACTTAGTCCTCTGAAAGGGCCAATTTGAGATGATGCTCAGGAAAGACTTCCCCGTAGGCAATTTCTTATACTTGTAAAGCTTTGTCCTCTTTTACCAGAAGCTGAGCGTGGCCTACATTGAAATGAGCAGCAGTGATACTTCTAACGTGCTGCTTGCCCTTGGTGAATACCTCTTGACAGACAGTTTCTTATACAGGTCAAGGCAGTGCACGGCGAAGAAATCCACTGTCTTGACACAGGAAAGTACCTGGGAAACAGCCTTTCTTTCAGAGAACTTTTTCATCTTGGCACATGCAGGTTTTATATTCATCTGGCCTGTGGTACAGGAAACAAAACCAGACCATAACAACATGTTGGTGCCTTCTGGCCTTGAAATCTGTGCAACTACCCTGCTTCCCAAACTGTGGCAGGCAGCTCTGGGGAATGAGTTGAAAAACAAAAAGTACTTGCTATAAATTTAAATGTAGGTTTTCAGATTTCCATTGCTTAGTATATTTGTTCTCTTTAGTGCCCAGAGAGTTGCGCTTATTGACGAGTCCGTTCAAGAGCGCTGTCTAGGTCCCTAGAAGGGATGTTTTTAGTAACTTATGTCATTCCTTATACTGCGCAAGCAATAACCAACTACTCAAAACAAACTTAGGTATTCTCATTTTTGCTTCCTAAATGGGAAAGTTAAAAATCGGAGAGGTGCGATCCAAACTCACGGAGCAAGTCCGCACCAGAACCTGCTCTGGGAGTCTCTCATCAGTCTTCGAGCCACATCTGAGACATTACATGTAGGATTTTCAGATGCAAGCTAGCTCTGACACTTAGAGAGTCTAATGCAGAGCAGGCTGATTCATAGTAAAATGGGAGAAAATACATTATCGCTTCAGTGGTTATCAGGAAGTTGTTCCACAAGGTGGATCTCCAGCTCCATGCATAGAAACATTGCGGGTATTGCTATGTATTAGGTAAGAGAACCCAGAGTTCAGGAAAGTATCGGGGCCCAAATTCATCCTTGTCACCAACAGAGATTTAATTCAGATCTTCCGCTAGGAGCTAATGTGGTTTTCACTCCCATGCTGCTCTCTGGAGGTGTAATCACAGAGTCCTCCTTTGTGCAGAGAGATGATCAATACAAAAAAGCTGAATGCTCATTAGCTGTAACTTTACAGATACAGGGCTGGAAATGGCATTTTTGCTTTGGTTCATCCATTTCCTCCCTCTGCACAGCTCTGTCTTTGAGCAAAGAACTATATGACTTTGTTTCATCAAAATCCATATGCGTAGCTTTACTTGTATGCTTGCAGTTTTCACCACTTGTTTTATTTTAATGACATTGTTATAGCCGCTTCCTGATTCGGGAGAATACTCTCCTCTTTCACAGGGACTGGGACTTGTGCTCATCTAGATTGCTTGTTTCTCTGCCACCTGCTTTTTCTCTTTCTTATTAAGCAATTAGAAAGGTTTATGGTTTCTTTCCAGTTTCTTACAAGTGGTTTGTCTAAAAATTGACATGCTGATGTACTACATATTAGCTAATTTTAGGTTAAGATTTTCATAAACCACTAGTGCATTTGAGTAGCCTAGTTCTGAGTGGCTTCTAGGGTGAGATCATTAGCAGGTTTGCAGATGAAATCGTTAGGGTTTAAAACCCCATTAAGTAGTAGTGGTTGATAAAAGACAGCATGTTTTGTATAGCCCAGGCAAAGTTAAAGCCAACCTCAAGTATCCCCAGGGACTGTTCAGAATCAAAGCTGACCGAGATTTTGATGCTTCCAGGGCTGGTTGACAGAGTACTCAACAGACATGTGGGATGACCAAAGTCAGCGTTTTTGACCCCAGGTGAATGGTATTCCTGCCCCAATGGTGAGGCATAACGGAGATGAACTTAGTGTTGCGGCGTGGCACTGTGCCGCCCGGCAGAGCGTCGCGGCCTTCCCCGAGTGCTGCTGCGGGGGCTGCTGGAGGTAGCCTGGCTCCTACTAGTGCGCGTTCTTTACATGAGATATGAGAAGCAACGCAGAGACTCAGGTTTAATCAAGCAGCTGGGGATGACGCTCATGTCAAAGCTGCCAAAGCAAGCCATTGAAGGAACAGCTGCTGCACTCAAGGAGCTGTTCTGGGACATCTGGAGGGCTGGCAGAGCCCTGGTGAGTAGCAATAGGCGTTGCTGTATGATGGCACAAAAGTGATGGTCCGCAGTCAGGATGCGGCATTGGTTCCCCATGCTGTTACGGTCCGTTCCAGGAAATGTTTTCACCCATGTTCCTCTTGGCAGAACTTTGCTGATGCTGACTCATAAATAAAGCCCAAAAAAGTCCTGTTTCCTTGCTGGTGAATCAGCCATTGTCTCTGTTCTTTTTTTTTCTAATTATAGCTACTGGTAGGGTTTGCCAGAAATTCAGTACTGATGAAGGAATTTGGAAAGGATGACTGAATTCCTCATGCCGTTCTCCAAGAGCGATATCCAGAAATCTCTTGCTCCTGTCACGTTGCTTCCTACTGTTAAATTCTGCCTGCCATTCCCCAGAGAAGTGCCTTCTGGCACTCAGCATCCTGAGCATCCTTATCAACCTAATTCAGGGCATGCGGAGAAAAGAGAAGCTGCTCTAGGGAGGGACTCAGAGCAGGAGCTTTAATTAGGTGTGTGACGCCTTTTCCAGAGAAGTTTTTCTCCATTGCCTGAACTGGGAACTCGACAGCCCAAAGCTAAGCTGCCCGAGTTTCCCTTGAGGGCCTGTGGCAAGAAACATGCTGAATAGTCACAGCTCCTGTTGCTATTGGAGATGCAGCTCTGCAAAATGAGTCCTTCAGAAGTGACTCTCTTCCTTGGTCATAATTAGCAGAAGTTCTCTCCAGGAGAGCTGGATCGATACAGCACGGTGCCCTCAACTGTAACTGCTACAGCTGTAAGTGCGTCTAAAATGAAGGTGCATTTCTGGTAGCAGAACGAGAAACGGAAGAGAATGAGAAAGGTGGTGCAGAGCGTTGTGCTGAGCAATGGCTGTCAAGTGCACATTGCTTGATCACAGATTCAACTTCCACAGGGCTTCTGCTGCCTTAAATTGAGAATCTAAAATATATCAGGTTATTCCTGTGAAGAAAACACTGTATTATAAGTGCATGTTGGTAAATGTTCAACTTTCTGAGGCCTAGAGCTCAACAGTTTTGAAAAAGGGTTAGTCATTTTGCACAGATAAAGAGTATGAAAAGTCACATAATGATGCTTTGGAAGCATATGGGATCCCATGGGTTAACTAGTTGCTGACTCCTAGATCTGAGAAAGGAGTTATCCCATATCTCCTGGGAGGTTGGTTCTTGGCCACACTGTAGTGGGGAACAGGTTGCTGAAGAAGAAAGAGCTGGTGATGCAGTCTGGCAATTCCAGTGTTCTTGTCCCTTGGGTGCGGACGTGTGCCGTTGGCTGAAACCGAAACAGGATCCAGGTTAGCCTCTGCTGTTTTCAAATGTTCCATGAGAAAGAACATCCCCAGTCTTTTCTGCTGTGACTCAGCTACCTTGTGCCTCTGGTTCTGCAGACTTGGGGTTTCTGCGAGCTTTGTGCATAATTTCCTTCAAAGCAAGAACTGGGATTGTTTTGTCCTTCTTTCTACAGCAGTGTAAATAGTGAAAGCCAGTAATAAACACTGTGAAGGCAGAATGCTAATGGTTCATTGTTTGTAACTTGGTTTTTGATCTTCTTGTACAGGTAAGGCAGAAACAATGCTGTGTTGTAACTGTAAATCCTATGCGTAATGTAGTGTGAAAGGTGTAAGCTCCTGGTGATGCAGTACCCTCCCAGCCAGACTGTGCAGCCCACGTAGACAACGAGTGAAACCCTGGCTTCATTGGACTCAAAGTCCAAACTCTTGCTGAGCTTGTGGAGCCCAGTTTTCATGTACTGAATACTCCTGGAGCTGGACTAGGTGACTTGCACTCATCGTGGGCTCATGTATCCATCTCTGAACCTATCCATCCATCCATCACCAGATATTGGATAATACACTTATCCATCCGTCACCAAATTTTCACAGGAACTCTGCAGTCAGTGAGTGCTTAGCACACAGAATTAACTTGAAAAAACTGGCTAGCCATTTTTAAAAACTATTTCGAAAAAATTCCAGCGTTAACAGTGTAGACTTCATTGCTGTAACTGAGCTATAAACGCCAAATCTCATATTTCTGCGTTTGATTCCAGCTCATTGCATTTCTTATTGATCATGATTATTTTGTTTGTTTTGTAGAAGTCACTCTTGGCCCAGAAACAACAGAGTTTATAACCTCTGCTCCGAATGCCAGCAGGGCAACATCGTTTTCAACTGCAGTGACAAACAGTACGTTGTCACCAACAACTATACAGACTATATTTCCTATAAGCTCCTCTGACAATAGTACTTCTGCTTTTGCAGATGTTTCATGGACTCAGTTTAACATAATTATTTTGACAGTTATCATCATAGTTGTGGTCCTACTAATGGGCTTTGTGGGAGCTGTCTACATGTACCGTGAGTACCAAAACAGAAAACTTAACGCTCCGTTTTGGACCATTGAACTCAAAGAGGACAATATCAGTTTTAGCAGTTACCATGACAGCATACCCAACGCTGACGTTTCAGGCCTGTTGGAAGACGATGGGAACGAAGTTGCACCGAATGGACAGCTAACACTGACAACTCCCATGCATAATTATAAAGCTTAAAATAAGAAGCAATCCAGCTATTCCAAAGTTGGCTTAAAAAAATTGCAGGGCTTGCTGAAGGGGTATCAGGATCCGTGTCAAGGCTCCAAGCAAAGGAATTTGCTCTTCAGATACTCTTGTGCTGGGCATGCTGTAGCTTGCAGGTGAACAGAAAAGTGTAGTACATCCGAATTTCAGGTAATGTGGTGAAATGCATTCAGTTTCTTGTTCTCCTTAAAGATCCATAGAATTCACTGTTGTTAAGGGTTTAAAGTTATGCTGATCTTAAAATATTTTTTTTTTATGAAGAGGCCGTGGGGTGGAGAAAGCAATAGCCCATGATTAATCAGAAGCTACTTGACTTCCAGCCAACCTAACACTTACACCTGCATCCTTTATTTTGAAAAGTAGCTTGTGAATTAACAGTGGATTTTCAGGAGATAGACTTTTGTAAAGACTTCATATTAGTTCCTGATATAAATTTGCTTGAAAAGGGAGGAGGAGAAAAGAAAGAAAGGGGAAAAAAAAAAAGAAAGTGTTGTTCACTGTACTACCAAGAGGCAAGTAGAGGAGCAAGTTACACACTTGAAGAAAAGTCACCGTTATCAGTTTCCACTGAGCTGGAAAACAGGAAAAAAATTACCATGAAAATATTGGAATTAGGGAGGAGGCTATGCTTTTCCCTTTCCGAGTACTTTTACAGGGTGATGATGCTATTAAAACATAGGAATCCATTTTTTTCTAGTAGGAGTTGGTGAACTTGTATAGTTGCTGTGCAAGGTAAGACGACAAGACATCTCAGGGTTGCCATGTAAAAATAAAAGCTAGGCTTGATATCCTACCCTGATAAAAACGATGTGTTCTGTATATAGAATGTAATATATCTTCTTGGAATTGTATTTGTAATTATTTGTAAAAAAGACAAACGGCCAAAAAAATCCAACAACAAAATCATGACCCCCTCCAACTCCCTATTCCCCAAGTCATATTTTATCATCTAGATTTTAATTGTACAGCGGTTAGTGGCGTTGTTTAAAAAGAAAAAATGAGGATTGTTTAAAATACTGTAAATTAGATTGCAATATCGTTGGAGCTGGGACTCTGGCAAACACCCACTGCTTGAAGCTTCTCGTGTCATTGAATAATTTTCTTTTTTAGAGAAAATGTGAGCGCTCCCTACTTGCATCTGTCCACTTTCCCCATTCCTTTAAATATACAGTACGTAGCCAGCCTCGCCATGGCAAGGCCCTAGTAGGCGTCCAACAATTGGATGTACTGTTCTGTTATTTGCTTTTAAATCTTTAAAAAATGCAAATATGCTGTCATGAATGCATTATTATTGAGGTTCTGATCTTGATGCCCAGGCTTTTCTGAAGTGGCTGCTCCTGACATGAGTGAATGTCATTGCCATCTCTTCTGAGCTTACACGGTGATGGGGAGACTTGCCGGAGGGCTGCTCGTAGCCTCCCTTGGAGGCAAACATTTTTGCAAAGGCAAAAATCTCCTGCGTTTCAGTGAAACCAGGGTTTCAGAGCACAGCTTGCAGGAGCTGATCTGCGTTTTCAGATTTCCGAGCTTAAAAACTAAAAATGCATGGATGCTGTCAGGAAATTTATGGCTAAAAGTTCATGAAGCACAAGACAGTGTGGGGGGAAATCAGCTGTCAAAAAACCATACCGGGGATATAGGTTTTACGAAATCTTCCGACTTTTGTGGGAGGCTGGTGGACTGTTGGCAAAGGGAGGACAACTAAAGGTGGCACAGCACAAGGGAAGGTGCACCTGGGCTGCGAGATGCCTTGCTGGCACCCAGCACCTATGTGGGGCCTCGAGGCGGATGCCGTGCCCTCCCTGTGCCGGGGAGCTGCCAGGGCAGCACGCTCCCACAGAGTCAGTCCCAGGAAAACCATACCATTACACTTAAGCAGGGTGTGAAACAAATAGTTTGCCTAACTCGTGACCAACCGCAGAACTAAAGCTGTGTTGCTGTATGTGTTGGCGCTTTGCAAGCGATTAATGCTGAGGGTAAATGAAGTACCTGCTAAAAGTCAGCAGGAGCTGACTGATGTATCCTCAGAGCCAGGCACAAGTAAATATTTCTCAAGTGGAGGATGAGAAACCATAGGAAGAATGTGACGATTATTTATTTGCTTTCCAGTGCTGTGTGGAGGCATTTCTTATGACTGGAGACTTTTGGGGAAAGGGGAGTAAGTGCTGTAAACACATGCAAAAGATACCGTTGCTGCCTCAAAGAAGTTGCTGCCTGATTTAAAGATGAGGCACAGCAAGTAAGAAGAAAAAAAAGTCGAGGAAGGGCAAGGGAGATGATGAGAGCAGGATGTGAGACTGTATATAGGCCTGAGCCAAATCCTATTGGACCCGATGGAAAGACTTCCATTGTCTACTATGAGCCTGGGTCAGATCTCATGGTTGTAGGTAATTAATATTGGGCTGAAGTCATTCAGAGCAATGTTAGTTTTAGTTATAAAATGGTAGAGGAATGGAGGAGAGAATCGGGGTATTGCTATTCCTTGAGTTACTTACTCATCAAGCTTTCAAAGAGCAGACTGATGACAATATAGAGAATTTCCTAAAAATTGTAATTGTTTGGCAGTGCTCGTTTAGACCTAAACGTGCACTGGGTCACTTCATGGGGCAGGGAAGGGCAGTTTAGGAACTGTTAGCTTCAGGGGACAATGCTAGCAGGAAAAGTGAAGGACAGATTGTTCACTCTGATGTTTCCAAAATACTTTAGTAGGTCTTTTCATCTCTGCAACAGTACATTCCCTCAAATTTTGGAAAGACTGCAGGCTACTTTGTAACAGGAATAGGCTTGGATTCGCTAACTGTGGAAACGTTGACCCTTTGCAAAACTGGAGCATGAGTTCAGACGCTGAGCCCTCCTATTCCATGCCTAAAGCAGAAAGGGAGGTTCTCGCATCTGGGCTGCTTCTGAACTATTACCTCTGAATTATTGTAAACACTTCATATTTGAGTCTTGTATTTGAAAAGAGGAGGCGGCCAGGATGCCTTACAGTCAGTCTGCAACGGAGGGAGATAAGGCCATGCTGTTGTCAACTGGTTGCACATGTGGATGAAAGGATCTATGATGGGAAGCTTAGACAGGCCCAGGTGCCCAGACTGCCCTGATCTGCGCAGCAGAGGAAAGCGCAGGATGTTCTTTTAGCAGGCACTGGAGCTATTGCAAAGATATTGCACTGGGACGATCCTCCTCAGGTGGCAAAATGACTCAGCCAGAAAAGCACAGGCATCTCCAGCCAACCAGGCCTTTTGCTTAGAAGAACATTTGCAAAAGGAGATGAACGCCTCAGCAGAGACAGAATGAAGAGCTGCATGTTTGACCTTGTCTGGTGATCTGAGGTTAAACCCTGCTCGCTCCCTCCATCAATCATGCAGCCATCCCCTGGGCATGGCAGGAAGTGAGGAAGAAGCTGAGCTAGTTGTATCTCCTGATCAGATTAGGCTGGCATCACGCTTTGATGGGGTGTGGAGCCAGGGTACCAAAGGCTGTGCCTGTTCCACCAGGACCGCAGACCTGCTGTGTATTATAACTTGTGAAGCTTCCCAGATGCTGAGGTTTGCCCCATGCCAGGTTGGAGTACACGTGGGTAAACTGGAAGCAGACTTGCAGAGTTGCACTGGGGCCCAACTCAGAAACTATCAAGGGAAGAGGAGGACACCTGGGTCACTCGTAGGCCTGATGTGGCAATACTGATAAATGCAGCTTTCCTGAAAGGGCCACCATGCCTCACCTTCTGAAAGGGCATACTGCTGTCTGGCTGGAGTAATGTGGCTGTCCTAGAGGAAGGCACTCGATGGCAGGGCACTGTAGCTGTAGAGCATAGAGAAGGTACAATAAGGCAGGTTAGGGCTGGATGAGGGTGGGAAACCAGCTCGCAAGGCACAGTCCTTAGGGTCATGGGAGCTGTGCAGACCCAGCTGGTCTGGATGGGGTTAGTTAAGTTGCACAGTCAAATAACTGAAGGCAAGAGGATAACGGATAAAGGGCAAAAAGCAATGATGTGGCAAAGGCATGGGGCAGCCTGGCTGTTTCAGAATTAAGGAGAGCATTTGGTAAGCACAAAGTGCAACAGACATGCAAAAATACGATTAATGTGAATAGATGATTTTAAATCTTATGAACCACTGTAGCTAGAAATAACCACGTAGAGCACTGGCCCTGGGGAACTGTCGTGAGATGTCATCCATTGGAATGGTAATTCCCTTGGACCAGGCTGAACAAACTTAGCACATTGGAAGCTATTTATGAAATAGGAAGGGATGTGTTCAGCATCCTTCGGGCATCCTGGGCCAGTTAACCACTGATATACAGCATTTTTATCCCAAATGTTACGTGCAATGTATATGTGGCAGAAAGTTTCCGCAGTCTCCTTTAAATAAAGGATATAAAATTGAATCCTAAAAATACATTTCTCCTTAAAGTGAAGTTTTAAAATGAGCTCCCACAGGACTTTGCTATTTATATGTCAGAGGAATAGATTAAAATAAGAAAAATGTGGGCCTTAAAATCGTACTTGCCCTCAAGTGAAACCCATCAGTCTTACTACACACATCCAAATAAGGTGTCTCCTAAGCATATGCTATGCTTACAAATGCATTTCTAAAAAAAAAGTGTATGATTTGAATATATGTCAGAATTTATACAGAAGAATGTTATTTAAAATGAATAAAAATAAATGTATATAATTTGTATCTATGGCACGTGGATTTTTGTGTTTGTTTTTTGTTCATTAAAGTTCAGTAGGAGTCTTTGCATTGATAGCAATCACAGCTGGATTGAGACCTAAAGCCTTGAGTCTGATCTCATCTCAGTAACGGCATTTGTTCCAAGAGAATTATTCCTTCATTATACCCACGTACACGAGATGAGAACTGTGGCCAAAAATGTGTTTTTTTAACATCAGATATTCATTAGTACAGCTGACATTGTGTCAGATAATCCATTTCAAAAATGAGCCCTATGAGTTCTTGTGTCTGCTTATTAACCGTTCCAGCTTTCAGCTAGTTTCATTAATAGGTTTGGTAGCTAGCCGTTCAACGGGCATTTCCCCACTGTTGTGTGTAATACTCACATAGACGTATTTTGTCAGAGATGTATGCAGTCATTAAAAACGAAATCTGCAGAGCAAAGCGAGAAAGTGGCTAGAAATATATTATATTTTCCTTCATGACCACAGTTGGTCTTTCAAAGGAAATTTATGTTCATCAGATGCTCTGAAATCCATATCTGTCATGAGTCGTTTTGAAAGTTCTGGTAACATCTGCAAAAGGGCCTCTGCAAAACTTACACTTTTGCTCACTTGTCAGGGTTAGGAAATGAATCTGAATTCTTGGTGCAGAAGTAAATACCAAATACAAAAGTTTGTCTTTCCTGCT